GAGAGAGAGAGAGAGAGAGAGAGAGAGAGAGATGGAGGAGGGAGAGAAGAGGAATCCCTCCTCGCTATCTCACCTGCCGGTATCTGTCACTCAAACTGACTTCGTCCGTTGTCGTGTGCAGGTACCGCGTGGAGCCCGGTTATGGCGCCAGGTAAGCTCGCCGACTGCAAGTATGGCCTCTGCCCTCTCCTATCTCCACTAATCACTACTCCCTACTCCTCTACCTAGCGCAGCATAGTGCAACCTCCAACCAGCAGCGTGTCGCTAAGAAATGGGCGACTTCAACTATCCTTGCCCAGCTGCGGCCCGACTATATGTAGTGCTGGGCCGCTGGGCCTACCTGGTACTGTGTGGCCTAAAACGGCCCAGGTGGTCTAGGTCGCTACCGGACGTCCAGACCTAGCTCCTGCTGCAACGTGGCGCAGAAATGCGCCTGGCCTAAAAACGGCCATCTACCGGTGCACCTGGCGCAAGGTGCTGTCTTGGGTCCTGCAGGACCGAAACGACGCCGGGTTGGCGCCAAAATGCGCCTGACCTCGTTTCGGGCCTGCCTCCGGTGTACCTGGTGCCAAGGCCCGGCCTTGGGGCTGCAAGTCCGCAACGGCACCTGAACAGACAGAAATAAGACAGCACACATACAGAAATAGGGGTAAGTAAACAAAACCCTACCTACCTACGCGCTGCCTAGGCCTGGAGGGCCGCCGTGGGCCTTCAGGGCGCGTGCTGGATAGTACGCGGCCTGGGGGCCCTTCAGCAACCGTCAGGCCCTTCAAATGGGGCCCGTGTGCAGGCTCAGCATGCAATAGAGACTAAACATCCACATGAGAACGAATCTTCCACGTTATCGCGGAAGATTCACTCTCATTTGCACTTTCATAGAGAGACTCTCTCTCTCTCTCTCTGAACGTCCAAATGAAAGTGAATCTTCCGTGATAACAATGAAGATTCATTCTCATGTGGACGTTCACACACACACACACACACACAGAGAGAGAGAGAGAGAGAGAGAGAGAGAGAGAGAGAGAGAGAGAGAGAGAGAGAGGCCATCAGAGAGTGTCTGACGCCCAGTTTGGTGCACAGAGAGAGAGAGAGAGGGTGCCAGAGAGTGTCTAACGCCGAGTTTGTCTCTCTCTCTCTCTCTCTCTCTCTCTCTCTCTCTCTCTCTCTCTCTCTCTCTCTCTCTCTCTCTCTTTCTTCCCCTCCTCCCTCCTCATGCTGCGCCTGTTTTTCTTTGTGCTCGTTTCTTTTCATTATCTTTTGCGTTTGTTTTTTTTTTCTCCCAGCCGCGTCGGGTTTCCTCGAATACAACACATACGCACCGTCCACCCAACCCTAAAGGTAGGTTGTATACATTTTGACGATTTTCCTCCCTTTGGCATAACATTTTTCAAACTGAAACATCCCTAATAAAAAACTTCAAAAGTGCAGATCGGAGGGCTACACGCCCGTGTGTTCATGCGGCCTGTTTTTCTAGTCAGAGATCTGGAGGGGTAAAAGAAGGGGTTGCAATTCAATACTAAAACATCATGGTCTGCAAGGGGAAAGTACAGTACTGACAAAAGAGATTGATAATGTGAAAAACATTATGACAAACAAAAAACATTAAGTTTAGAGGGATACTGATCAATTGATTGCAAACATACTGAAGTACCTTCGCAGAAAATGGAAAGTCCTGGGTTATCCCCCATGCACCGAGGGCACGGGCGGGTGGGCCAGGATATTCGCTTGGGGAGTCACGAACCGTTGATGAAGGTAATCCAGTGGTGCGTTGCAGGTTCGGAGAACGGAGCGGCGCCTCAGTCGCAATCGAAGAGCACGCTAAAGATAAAAGGACACTTTCGTTTGGGGCAAGCAGGCTAGAAATAGTAAATCCCCAATATTGCGCATAAGTGCCAGAATATCACGTTGAATTTCAGCGTAGTCCCTGCAGGTTCAATACGGCTTAATGTAGGCTTTGTGAAGGACTACGTCGCAGAGTGTCCCACCTGTCAGGAGATGAACAGTGCAAACCACCTGCCTTATGGTTTGCTCCAGCCTCTTCCTATCCCTGAGGGTCGTTGGCAGTCCATCTTGATGGACTTTATCGGTCCTCTTCGACCTCCGACCTCCTGCGGTCGTGCTGCTATCCTGGTCGTCGTTGACCGCTTCACAAAGCGTGTACGCTTTGTTCCGTGCCGCTATGCCATCAGTGCACGTAAGGTCGCCGACATCGTGTTTGACCGAGTCGTGCGTGACCACGGCTTACATCTAAGCATCATATCTGACCGTGACCCACGCTTTACCAGCCGATTCTGGCGGCGACTCCACGAGGAGTACGGCACTCAGCGCCGCTTCTCCTCGTCTTACTATCCTCAGACTGATGGTCAGACCGAGGTCACGAACAGGACTGTCGGAGATATTCTCCGAAAGATCGTTCGTGACGACCAGCAGTGAGATCTTCATCTTGCCCATGCGGAGATAGCCTATAGCCACGCCGTCTCGCCAACCACGGGGATGTCGCCTTATTATTGCGACCTCGGCTATCACCCTCGTGTTCCCTCGGACTTCCTTCGACCGCCACAGATGCACCCCGACACGAGTTGTCCCGCGCTG